CTTCGACGAATAGTTAGCGAGATATCGTAAGGTAAATGTTGGAAAAGTTACCAAGTTTTCCTTAAATATCTCAAAATATATTAAGCAAATAAAAAAGTGTTTCAGACGAAAGTTGTTCAAATTAATTGGTAGAAAAAGATGAGATAAGAAAAAATTCGGATTTCTATTTAAGAAAATTGATGATCAGTGATTATCTCGAAAGTGGAGTCACTTATAAACAAAATGCTATCGCTGTCTTATGTCCCCCTTCAAGCCAAACAGCTATTGTCTTGAGCATTTTTCGATTTAACGCAGTGTTTCTGAGATATTTGAGTGAGTCCTTAAAAATGGGACACCCTCTGTATATACATACAGAGTGCCTGAGACCACCCCTTTTCTTTCAAAAACTAAGCATTTTGGAGAAAAATGTTTTAGACAAAAGTTGTATGGTTTCAAAGATGACATGTAACAACTATATCATTTTGTTTATAGATGGCGTTCACTTTCGAGATATTCACTGATCGTTACTTTTCTTAAATGGAAATCCGAATTTTTTATTATATTATCTTTTTCCACCTTTTTAATTTAAACATCTTTTGTCTGAGACATTTTTTTATTTCCGAAGGTCGATAAGTTAACAAAAGTCAAAACATATCATATATATTCATTTGCTTGAACGTGATCGCGTGTGTGAAATTCGTCACTGAAACTGCGCGCACACACATACTCCGCGACTAATCTGCCAAAAACTTAAATGTCAATTAAAAGCTGTCTATAGGATTTTCAACGCGAATTAAGACACACGCGCGTGTTTGGTGCCGACTGTAATCACATCCCTAGTGTGGTCCGATACATCCCAGGCAGTCGTGTTCAACTTCATATTAGCTGCATTTCTTCCGGCCGTAAGAGAAGTTACTTGTCGAAACTAGTCTATTAATGGGATTAGGGACGGTATTTAAGCGCGTTCAGATTTCGAGTGTTAAACGCGTTACACGGTCCAACCCCGCGAACGTACACACTCGGGAGTTCGCCGAGTCGCTAATTGTACGTCGAATTGAACGATTGAATCGACAGTTTTCGATATCTGACCATAACGCTCCAACTCATAACGAAGTTGAACGAACGGCCATGCGCGACCTCCGATGCAACGACGTGCTGGCGTTTAATTGCGATTATGTGCCGGCAACTTCCTGCGCGCAACGACGCGACTCCGACTGGCCGCGTAAGAAAGGAAGGAATACGAGACGAGTTTCCAATGTGTATGTGCGCGATCAGCTACAGCTCGTAGCTAGCGCAATCACAATTACGATCCCGCCGGCTCCGCACGGTCGCCGTGGCGTCGTTCGCTCGCCGAAAACTTCTAATATACAACAGTTGTAATCACTCCGCAAGAACCTCAAAATGAATTCCAGCGGAAACTTGGCTGCGTGATTCGTAATTTCTCGTCTGCTCGAATTTGTAATTTCTGATTCGCGGCGAGAATGCGGGACACGCTGTCGAATGGGCGAGTCCCGCCCGCCAGGACGCGCACGCAAGTTAAATACGTAATAATAAATAATCTAACAAAGAGAATTTACACCGCACGTGCGGGAACTTGGGAATATTTTGTTGCGCTGGACAAACCGAATAGTATTCACATTGTTATGATTCAATGAATTTTAATGCCTGCCCGAATTCTCGCTCGTTAAAAATACACACCGTCACTCCGCTGACCATTATTAACGGAAACGATGTAATACGCGGCGATTGATCGTGCCGGCGTATCGACTGCGAATATCGTAAAAATAGGCGGCTATTAAACAATCGCACGCCGCGAAGAGCGAAATACAATATGTAGTTTTAACGCACAGATGCATACGCGTGTGACGTATTCTGCAGACTCAAATACGAATGAAGAGCAATGAATGAAAAAGCCCGACATATATATACACGCGCATCCGTGGGTAGCTTTTTCCAACAACGTGTTGCTGCTTCGCGTGATTTCCTATGTTTAATTGTTCGGATTATTTATTTATACGAGGTTTGATCAAAAAGTAACGAGAACCTTCTTTAATTCTCTCGGGAAGTATTTATTTAATCTTCAATGTTTATCCCATCTCCTTCAAAGTAGTCCCCCTGTGAAATTATACACTTATACCAAGGTAGTTTCCAGTTTGAGAAACACTGATGGAACGTCTCTTTGGGTATCGTCTTGAGCTGGATCCGCGTTTTCGCCTTTATCTCATCTGTTGTTGAAGAACGTTGTCCTTTGAGTGTCCTTTTGAGTTTGGGAAATAGGAAAAAGGGGATCACAGGGGGCCCGGAGAATAAGCTGGTTTTGCGATGGTTACGCGATGCTATTTTTGTTGAAAATTCAGCAGTCTCGGAACAAATTTTGCCAATCTCTTTAACTTTTTCCACTGGTTTTCATCACTGGCGACGTCTGGGCTAGGACGCCCAGACCTCGCGTCATCTTCGATGTCTTCTCGGCCTTCCTGAAAACCATTCGTAAACTCGTGGATGTGACATAGTATCGTCATCAAAGGCTTTCTTTAACATTTTGAACGCTTCGCTGCACTTGATTCCGTTTTTAACACGAAATCTCAGACAAACTCTCTGATCCGACACTTCGCCACACAAAAAAATCGCCAAACACAAACTAAGCGTCGCAGCTGCCTGAAAATTGACACGCACGTCACTTGGTAGTACTACCAACGCACAAAAAAAGAATCAACTGAATAGACAAGATACAGCTCGCGCAACTTCAAAATTCTCGTTACTTTTTCATCAGACCTCGTATGCGCGTTCTCGAACACGCGACTAACAGAACTCGCGTTAGCCAACCAAGCGCGCTCGTCTTCCGTTATCCGTTTCCTTATTTCTCATTTTCTTTCTTCAAACGAATATTATATTACGCATTTTTCGACGTATTATTTCGCTGATTAGACCGGCTTGATTATCGACAAATAGCCGCACGTAGACAGGAGCCATCACTTCGATTCAGCGACATTGACTAATGCGCTCGCTCCCCTCCTCTTGAAACAACGCAGGAAATCCGATTGATTGTACACCGGAGTGATTACCGAACGAAACTAGCTTCTACGCATGGCAAATGCCTCTCTCGACATTCATTATCTATGCGACGGCCATTACGAACAATCGTTTTCTCCGGCGACGCGATCGTCTCTGGCTAAGCTGCGATTTAATGATGCATCGTGAACGACCAGAGTTACTACTCGGACAGATTATAGAATTGTACTATATCGGAACCCGACGATGAAGCGCGACGAAGTGGCAGATAGAGAATGGAGAAAAAGACGCAAACGCACGCGACATTTTAGCGATAATAACCTGGTGGTGGTCGAGGAAAGAACGCAAAAACATCGAAATTGCAGTGACTTTCGAATGTTCGATAGACGATAAGAAAATACGATATCCTAATAGAGAAATGCTTTTGCCGCTTTCAACGCTCATTTCAGGCTGAACAAATTACGGAGAGTCGATTCGTGTTAACGGCACTTATGCGTCGCGTCTTGAGGTTCGCGAGGTAGCTGTACAACAAACGTGTCCGGTTTGCCCATTACGGTTTCCACGTCACATCTGCGAGAATCTGCCCCGTGTAATCCACGTGTCGTTCAGTCATGCCAATTAATACCGGTGAAAGCGGAGACAGTTCGCAGCCGACATTCCTGGGAAAACACGAAACACGTCGGGACCGTACTCGTTTAACTCCGCAACGGCCGCTTAAAGTTGTTCACTAACTGCGATTATAGCCGCGATGCCAAGGGCAGGTTACGCCACGTCGGTTACGTGACACTATTTGTCGCTTTCCCGTCAAACGGCTCTTGAGGGAGACACCTCGCATACGGCTCTCACGAAGCCAATATAGACTATTGTGCGTATGTATATGTGCGCGCTCGTTACTTAATTTAGAATAAACATTACGAGCATTGCAAAAATCACCGAAGCGAAGTGACATTAGCTTGTAGAATATAAAAATAATCGAATGGCACAAGCCTTCCTTTGTTTTAGAAAAAGAAAGGAAATTACTTGCAGAAGTGAAGTAAGATGGTTGAAATTTGTAGTATTACTTCGTGACAGACAATAGTCCCACGGTGATATTGTTGTCACAACTTTTTACAGCGGGAAGAACTAAATTATTATTATATCAGGCCGAAATAATCTCGCAGAAAGATCGATATTTGATCGACAACTCTAACAAACTTCTATCGCATAAATGACAACGAAGGAGTTATCGCTCTGCCGCGATCAATTCCGTATGAAGTAGCATTAAGGGAAAGGAAAGAGAAGCCGTAAATAGATAAGAAAAAAGGGACAAACAGGGAGCGTATCGCGTGATCGTATTTTTAGAATACAACGATGTCGGCGGTGACGAGATCAATCTTACGTTACACTGCCTGTTACAATCGACGATTAAAACTCGACAGGCGGCGCGGTAAAAGTTACGACCTAACCCAATTCTCGCGGATCTTTTTAAAGGAACGTCCGACAAGAAATTCGCCGCACGACACAGTCCGAACCTCCTGTCCTAATCCGTTGTCCGTCGTAAAACGAGGCGAAATCACCCGTTCCCCGGCTGATATCATTACCGGCGATAACGTCGCGACAAGCATTTTTACGCGACAAAGTAAATTCATCCCCTCCCCCTTTTCCTATCTTTGACGTACCGTCTCGCGATTAATCGAGCATCAATCCCGAGAACGTAAAAGCAATTTAATCGCAGCTACGAAATTACGAAATAATGAAAAACAATTTTCGAAACGGCGTCTCCCTCGACGTGATATCTCTCCCTCCCTCCCTCCCTCTCTCTCTCTCTCTCTCTCATCATCCCGGCAATCGCGATGCTCGAAAATACATCCCCATGTCTGGGCGCCGGAGATCCGACGAACGAGCACAATTAACCGAGAAACGCGTCGGGGTTGCGGGAGAACGCGCGCGTCTAAGCGGTTCCCTCCAAATCCGCGAGAGCACTTACGCTTGAAAAGCGGAAAATTAACGCGGCAATTTCGTGTCTTGCGCAGAGGAAAGATGAACGAGATGGAGCAAATTCCTGAGGGAGGCTGAGACCGCGCGGATCCTCGAGATGACCAGTCGGAGGATGCGGCCGACCGCCTGGGTGTTCGGCGTCATCGCCATTGTCTCCGTCATGATCACCGTCACTGCGTCAGGTAAACGCATTTCGATGTCACTTCGAATTTTGGCCGGTTCGCTCTGGCGTTACGTTCGATAAAAATCGGCGATCATTTCACTGGGATCACTCCCATTGCGCAAATGTCAAGCTGATCTTATCTGATTTCATCTTTGATTTCGTTTCCCTGTTTTTTTTTTTCTTTTTGTTTCAATAAGGTAAACGTATCGAATTTACGCCACCTTGGCTTGTTTTGTGCGTGTAATAAAACACAGCTGAGTAAAAGTGTCTAAAAATTGCCGGAAAGAAGTCGTGATAGTGTGTCAAATGGCTCCGCTAAAGTAACTATACGAAAATATAATATGCAAATTTTCCGTGAAAAGCAATTTCAAAAATTTCCATATCAAAGATCTCTATCACTTTTGACTATTTTCGACTGAATTTGCTTATATATAATTACCTTATAATATGATAAAATGAGATATTTTTGGGTAGTAATATAAAGTGTTTTAGTTCTGTACAATTAAAGTACAATAAAAGATGATAAAAAGGTATAATATTATAAAGTTATATGGTTTTTATACAATATAATATAATATAATATAGAGTGGCGTTATTTGGTATATATAATCAGTGGCGTAAATTGAGACCTACAATTTCAGTGGGCGTAATTCGGGGCATTTGCAGTTCACACTTAATTCTTTTATATAAATAAATAATCTTGTTTATTTCTAATTGGTGTGTGCGTTTTTGCTAATTTACAATGATAGCTTTTAACAAGATTCATAGTCTTACCTCTCTACATACCACCACTTTACTTTTTTAAAAATATACTCGCAAAAATTAGTCTTTACTCAACATGGCGTAATTAGGCACATTTACCTTATGTGCTTAACTCGATTCTCGAGTTGGAAAATTTGAATCGAGATTGATCTATTATTTACCATATGTTAGAAACAGATCGATAGGATTGTCGAGAGAACGATCGATGGAATTAATTACTGGTTCTAAAATCGCTTCAAATGCACACGCGTGTATGCGATATGAAGACGTGACTTTTTACTTTCCCTGAAATTATGTGCAGCATCTCGGCGCATTATTAAAATTGAATTATGCATCAAGTGATAACGGAGGAATCTGCAGACAAATGTTCGTTAGAATACGCATTATGGTGGCGTGGAGAACTAATTAGGCGTGATTCAGCGCCTGAAACTTACGGATATATTTTCCGCGGATTATATCCCGAGGTTAAAGTCAATCTCCGCGCTATAAATTCAAGCCACTCCACGCCGCCCGTCCCGTTCGTCGCGCTATTATGAATTTACGAAACGCTTTACAGCCGAATAATCTCGCAGTGCAATATTGTTACGAGCGAGCGAACGAACGCTTCCGTCCGTCTCGGCATATCGGGACGCGAGGATTTTTAATTAACCTGAATGCCTAACTGCGCCGTAAGCGCCGAGTCATAACAACGGCGAACGACTGCGCCCGGCGGGATAAAGAGAGCGAGACTCTTTTGTAGCGGGCCCGTTGTTTCTATACGACCTCGTGAAGATAACCCCAGCGGAATTTACTTTCTTGCCCTTCCTAGCAATCACCATTTCGTAGGTGAACGCCCTTTTGCCCGGTAGCACGTACCCGACAAAACGTGGAAGTACCGAGCAACGAGATTGTCGTCGCGGCATCTTAATGTCGGGCAATCGACGCCCGGCGCCGCGAGACGCGACGTCGTGTATAAATATATCATTACTTTCGCACTTTGCGCGTGGATCGGCAGAGGAACAAAAGTCACGAGTGCCAGTCGCCCTGAAAATAGATCAAGGAAAACATACACACGCAAAAGTGACACTTGATTTTTCTCTTCTCGTGAGAAAATAATCGAGGAGACAAATTTGCATGTTCGATTGATTTAGCGTTCGATTCGTCGTGTCGACTGAAATTTCACCTACAAATCTGAGATTCTCGCAGGAGCGCGCTAGCTCGCGCGAAGACGCCGCATCCGATTCGCGCGATCACCGCTCCGTGGACTCATTTTTAACGCGAACCTCCGAAGAGAGATCCGGCGCTCGTCCGGAAGTGCATCCGTCGCGGCCGCGGGAATAATCCGAGAAATTTCCTTCTCCGCACGTCCTGCAAATTTGTCTATCATACGTGACACGCGTAAATCCTCGCTGACAGATTGCGCGAAGATAGGTGCGCTCACTCTCTCTCTCTCTCTCCCTCTCGCGCGCGCGCGCGCGTTACTTCGGCATGCTTCGCGCCCGTGGTCGCTTCGATCGTGGGGCACGACGAAAAACACGCTCCCGGGGAGAAATGTAACGGAGAAAGGGGCGAATTAGGCGCGAAATTCCCACCGCGAACGCGGTGAATGAAAAATGATGAAACGTTGCTTATGCACCGGTTATACCTCCGCCCGGCCGATCGAAGGCTATCAATCACGAGGAACAAACGCGGAGTGTATCTTCATTTTGCGGCGCTCTACATCGCGCCGACTAATCGCCGAAATTTCGCGCGATTCACTTACTCGCGCGAGCTCGCGCTAACGCCGAGAGGAAGAAAAAGAGCACGAGCGAGCGAACGAGTGAGAGAGAGCGAGCGAGCGAGCGAGAGCGAGAGAGAGAGAGAGAGAGAGAGAGAGAGGGGGGGAGCAACGGAGGTGCTTTTCAGCGCCGTCCGGACCGCGTCGCCGATATTGCGAGGTGCGCGATCAATCACCCGCGCGCGCGATCACTCGCATTCAGGCCTGCGAGATTGTGGAAAAAGCTCCTCGGCGAGGCGCGAGGCAGACCGAGGGGGGAACAAAACCCGAGCGACCAGGGCGAACGGCGTACAGCCTTATCTGCAACGGCACCGAGAGAGCGAGCGTTATATTCGGGACACGCTCGCGCGGAGGATTCGGTCCGTCGCGAATAATAATACGTGTAATCTCGCCGCGGCGAAGATTAATATGGCGATAGAACTCGGGATAACACCATCGGAAGTTAATCGAGCGGAATCGGAATACGCTCTGGGACGAGTCGGACGAAACTTTGCTCTCGAGCTGATTCGCTCCCGGAAATATTTCATTACAAGTGCAGTTCATTCCCGCGGCCCTGCCCGTTTCTCCATGTCGGCGGCGGAACGGAGTTAAGATTAGGAGCGCTCATGAGTAATCAAGTGTCTCGAAAAGTGGAAGGTACTTGATAACGATAATTTGAAATCTGTAAGAAGACTATTACATAATAATCTCAAAATTACGAACGAGACTGTTATTCTCCTGTAATCGACGGTGTGATTAGTTCGATACATCTCACCCGACTCTCGGCACGCTCGCAGCGAGCACTGTTTGCACGCTACACGGTTCAAGTGGGAACCGCTCGTGAGAGTAAAGAGTCTTGTAAATAATCGATTAGTCGTGAGTACACATCCGTTGATAAATCGCGACGTAACGATGCGATTGATACATCGCTCGTGTCGGCGCAACGAGCGGTCGATGCGATGGCGATCAAGGCGCGTCTCGGTGAGATTCCTCGCGCGCGCGCGCGCGCGCGCGAGAGTCGCCCAGCAGCCGGCGGATTCAGGACTCTCGCGCTGGGAATCGCGCTCAACGTTTTATAAATCATTACGGACGTCGGCGGCCAAAATTACACGGCGGCGGCGGCGTTCAACGCCGATCGATCGATCACTCGCGACGCAAAACGCGCGCTAAATTGCTTCGGAACGACGAACGAACGAGCGTCACGTCGCGTCCGTCGTTGCAGTTGCCGTTGCCATTACAGCCGCTGCTACGCCTGTGTGGCCGGCAATATCGACTCGCGTAAACAAGATCACCCTCGCCAAATATCGGCTAGCTGACGTGCGCGCAGCTTCCGGATGGCCGGATGGCCGGATCGGAGATTTTCGCGATTCCCTGCCCGGTGTTGCTGGACGTATCATCGCCGATGTTGCGCACTATCGAAGCGTTATAAAACATATAAATCTAAGTCGAGCGCAGAGTATCGCGGGTGCGATCTGGAAAATTACTCAACAGGGCGCTCAGGAGCCGGGAACGTTCGAGAGTGGAGAGCCGAAAATGTCAATCTCGGTTATTTCACATCGAAAGTGCTATAAATCGATGGTTGGACTCTCCCAAATTTTTAGTCATTATTGCGCGTGCAAATTTCGCAAACATAAAGCGCGAGTTTGCGAGGCTCTTTCTTAATGAGCAGAAGCCGCGCAATACCGGCAATATCATTTTCGGCAATCAGAAAGAGAGAGAGAGAGAGAGAGGCTTCCAAACGAGCACTTGTCCGCGAATTGGCAATTTGCGCGGATTGTTAACGAAATTGACTACTCTCGACAAGTGGAAAACGCCGCAATAATGGCATTAGCGCAGCGGCGCCGGCAGAAATTTGCGCGCCAAGACGAGACGTAAGCCGCGACTGATGGGGCGCGGCTGGAGCAACAGGAGCGGCAAAATACACAGTGAAACGGAAGCGGGCTCCGGAAAGGGGGGCTCCCTTTCGCAGCACTTTAGCGCGATCTTCAATTTTCCATAGTCCACGGGCTTGATGAAAGATGAAACGATGGCGGCGGTGTAGTGTCTCGCGCTAGAGTAGAAAATTGGAGAACGAACCCCCGAGGAACACTGCATAAAGATTTACAGCTTTCTCGGTAATGGTACGGTAGAAGATGCAAAAGGAGATAACGCAGCCCGTGATAGAAGTCGCGACAGATAGCAATCTTATAATCCTCGGATGCAGATAGAGCGACGAGGGACGGGACGGGACGAAGCGGAACCGCGCTATATTCATCGCGCGGCCGTTACTACCGTGAACGCAATATCCACTTGTGTAAATAGGATTGCGACTGCCAGATATCGCGCGACGCATCGCCGAGATATCGGCGAGTCTCACGGCGTTACGTCCGCGACGGTCGTCGCATTCGATATGCGGGGGCGTAACATGGTACACACGAGACCCACATTGAAGGTGGATTCGACGCTTAAACGCAGAGTTAATATTCAGAGCTCATACTCCGCTGATTCTTTTCCGCTCTTTCGCGTTGTATATTGTTGGGAAAGTGATTCTCACCTAAGTAAACCGATTTTGATGAAATTTTGCATGCGTATAGAGCATCGAAAAATATTAGACACGTATCTTTTTATATCAGCCCGTAAAGCGGTTTTGAGGTAGAAACCATCTGTAAAATGTCAATTTTTTCGCTTTCTTGTCCTGTATATAGATGCTCAATATCACGAAATGTTTGAGAAAATAATGTGTTCCGGAGGAACACATCAGTTGTTTCTACCAAATCCGAATTCACCAGAAAATTTGAGACTTTCGAAATGGCAGATTTATTATGGCGGATCGATATTTGAAGAATATCATGTCACAATTGGCATACATTTATTAATTCTCTGCGATTTACATATTTCAAGGTCTTCAGAGTAAGAAACAAATCTAGAATCAGATTTTGAAACTCCAAATATCGGATTCATTATGGTGGATGAAAATTTGAAAACATTTCTCCATCAATTTTTGGAATTGGTGTATGATTTTGTATGTGGCTTCTCTAGGCTGGTGGTAATAAATAAATGAGACGGATGCTTTGTCCAAATAATGAAGATGTATGGACCTCCTATTCGGCTAATGAGTATATATGTGAAGTATATATTATTAAAAATATAGTTTTCTAAATTTGATTATGTATTATAGTTTTTAATTCCGAAAACCTTGAGATACATGATTCACGAGAAATTAATAAATGAACTTTCGAAAAATATGATATTCCTCAAATATCGATCCGCCGTATTGAATCCGCCATTTTGAAAGTCTCAAATTTTCTGATGAATTCGAATTTGGTGATATAAAAACAGCTGATGCGTTCCTCTGGAAGCATTATTTTCTCAAACATTTCTCGACATTGAGTATTTATGTAGAGGACAAGAAAGCGAACAAATTGACATTTTAATGGTAATTTCTACCCTTAAAACGCTTTATGGGCCGATATAAAAAAAATAGGTATCTAATATTTTTCGATGCTCTGTACGCATGCAAAATTACATCAAAATCGGAATGAGGCTCTTGGGTAGGTTTACTTGTCAGAGTGATCCCGGCGGGAAACGTTGCCGACAGTCGAAGGATAAAACAGAAAAACCTTTTCTTTAACCTTCTGCTTCTATTCGGATCATTGTTCGGCTAATGAGAAGCATCGTCGGTTGCGTATGTCGAAAAAGCGGAAAGTTTTCATTTGGAAAAATTATTGTGCGAACGTATCCTTGAGAATAGATATTCGTATTGGCGAGTTCCTTCTGTAGAATTTGATTTTCTCTTGATATATGCTGATAGATTGGAAATTACGTGTTGTACTGAAAGGATATTTCTTTCTCTTGAATAAATAAATGAATAAACAAGTGTCGGTTCAATCTGGCGGATCGACACAAAAGAGTGAACCGATGAATGTAAGAACGGTCATGCGAATTTTATCACGCCGGTCGGAAAACCGGCGATTAAAATCCCCACGGCGGTCGTTTATCGCCGCATTCTGGGCGTTGGGCTTCGATCGCAAATCGGAATTGCGCGGCAGAAAAGCGAAACCTTACGCCAAAAACTTTTGCGGATAAAGCCGCGACCGCGAAACACGGGCGCTTGTAAAATGAAATTCCTGCGGAGGTAGACCGGTACTTTTGTTTCACGAAAATACGCACCGCGCGCTATCCGACGCGCACAAAGGAATTACATCGCCGTTATTATCACATGGCGCTCTTTCTCTCTCTCTCTCTCTCTCTCTCTCTCTCTCTCTCCCGTCGCGCGGTGTGTTTCCAAGTGAACAGGATGTCGCGCGCAGATTCTCCGCCGCCAGCCTTTGTTTTGAGCCGCTGCGCCCCGGGACGATATTTTCCAATCGGACAGTTTACACGAATATTAACGTCACCCCGAGTTCCCGTCGCGCTTAAAAACGATAAAAAAGAAAAACGCCAACGAACAAACAAACACATTCGCTCTCGATCGCTTGAAACCTCTTCGTTGCGGTTGCGAGTGCAAAATATAACACGTTCGCGTTTTACAACGGTTCATTCACTTGGGAAAGCCGTCCCGTACAGACCACCACGTGTGTATATTCTTTTTACTTTTCATTTTACATAATCCTGTAAAACAGATTATTTGCTTGCGTGCACCGAATGAAGAAAGATTATCGCTGCATGCACCCACACGCTGCATGTGTTAATTTATCACGTCGATTTTCGGCGGATTTTGCCGGAGCTGCTCGGAGAGAAGCGACCTTTTACTCCATAGCGTCCTCGGACGCGGCGTCCTGATTGGTCATTTATTGGCCCTCCACCGAGACCTTTTGAACGCCCCATAAAGCTCCCGGTCGCGCTTCTCGCGTCCGCATTTAAATCCTCACCCGGCGGGAGATCATCCCGCGCGCTCGTTCCGAGTGGTAAATCCCAAGCCGCTCGCTCCGCCTTGCCAGCGTGTCGATTCACCCTCGACACGAGCGACGAAGCCCCTTACATGTCCCGCTCACCGCGTCCGTCCAGACAGACAGACAGACAGACACACACACACACACACACACACACACATGCATATATCCGTCGAGTCGAGCAGGCCCGTAAATCCACCCGTTTGCTTCTTCCGCAGAAACGGAGGAGAGCGGCGTCATCGAGCGTAACGTCAATCGCCTCGACGAGGAGGACTGGCGGGTCGACGAGAGGATCGCCGCGAAGAATCGCAGTATCGAGAGCGCTTGGCTCCACGACAACGACAACGACGACGACGACGACGACGACGACGACGTCGACAGCAACAACGACACAACGCTCCTCGAAGACACGATTCCCGCATTCGCGATCCGCCAAGACGACGAGCACCGCGTGGCCGGCGACAAGCCGCAATGGGATGAAGCCGTCTCGCGACTCCGGCTCGTGGCTAGTCAGACGAGGTTGCTGAAGAACACGTCGCGCGAAGGAGATGCGATAGAATACACCACCTCCAAGGACTCGTCCTCGCTCGTCAGCGTGACAGAGACTCGCTCGGAAAACGCGTCCAAGAGGCTCGCGGACGAGCAGCCGATGCCCGCCTCGAGGAAGATCGAAGACTCGGAACAAGCGGAGGAAGCGTTGGCGATTCTGGAGCACGAGGATACGCGGGGTGCGAATGAGTCCGCGGTGGAGAAATCCAAGAACGACTGGCCGACGGTGTCGATAGAGAGGAAGGAGCAAGACGAAGGAGAGGACGATGGTGAAGAGGAGAATGTGACGGAGTCGAGACTCGGCGGTCAGAGGAATATGGAGGATATCAGGGCTATTTCGTTCCAAGTGCCGCCGTTGGAGGAAGGGGCTCAGCCCCGGGATGAGCAGGGTAAGAGAGGCGTTGGATGGGCCAAGGACGAGAAAAGCAACGGAGAGGGGAAGAAAAGTCAGTCGAGGCCGGCAAACAACCTGCTGCTGAGTGGCAAGTCGACCAAGGCCTTCTACGAAATCAAACCGTCGATCAGGACCGAGATGGACCATGGTCATGAACAGCACTTCCACGCGACCACCCACCGGCCCCTGTCGGGCAGGAAGTTCGTCCTGCCGAACGTGGACAGCGCTTACGGCAAGTTCGGGCCGTACTTCGAGGACGGCGATCGAGAACTCAACATCACCGCGAGGATCGGCAGCACCGTCTTGTTGGACTGCAAGATCGGCATGCTGAGCGACAAGCAGGTGAGCCGGGCTACTTGCTGTGTTGGTCCTTGAGATTTGCCGTTAGCACCCTTTCACCTTCGACGAGACGCGACGGCGGGAATAAAAAGTCGGATCTCGTTACGACTTGACGATCGGCGCGTGACATCGCGCGCGCGCGCGCGCGCGCGCGCGACGGAACGGGCGAATAGTAACGAGAAGGAAAATTGGATTGTCGAGTCAGGTACTTTCGTTTCATCGACGGCAGAGCCCGTATCGCTACGGGAATGATAAATGCCAGCGATGAGAGATCGTAACTACGTCGCGTTGTAACATTCGTCGACGTCGATGTCGATATAATTTCCTCCTGCAGCGGGAATTATTTCACACCGGGATAATTCAGCCGGGCGAGCCGAGCCGGTTGTTTTCACCGATACTTACTACTCAGTCGTCACACAATGCTGGGGATTAAGGTGCAAATGTTACACGCGATGTTCTCTGAAAATAGTCAGAAACTCGGCGCGGACGTTCCTCGTTGCTTGCATTCGCGCTCTGAAACGTCCAAGCCCGCGCACGCGGCTGGAAAAAGATTCGCTGTCACGATGCTGTAACATTCGCGTAATTACATTCTCACGTGCTCTCTCCCTCTCTCTCTCTCTCTCTCTCTCTCTCTCTCTCTCTCCCCCTCTATTTTCTATCATAATTACTTTCGCTTTCACAGTGCGTACGAAAGGAAGTACGGCAAGAAAATATGAAAAATAGAGTTATATACCGAGGAAAAGCCTGAAGTTTCTTACGTCTTCTCGTACTTGTATGTTCCTTCTCACTTGCTTTGTAGCAAGAAATCAAGAGGCACGGAAAATCGATCTTAAGAAACAAATATGACTATGAATATAATTCGTACTTGTGTGCGCAGAGTCGCGCAAACGCGGGAACGCTCGATTTTTGACGTTACGACGCAGTTTTCGACGGTTTCTCCCTCCCCCTCAAGCTGCGTTAGCGTGCAATTGCGAAGGTAATACCGATCCGCGGGACGTTCGGGAGCTCGAGCTACTCGCTCGGAAAGTTGTCGCGCGCGTCAGCCTCCCCCAAGGAGGAATCATACGGGTCCGAGAAGGGAAGAGCGACGAAGGGGAAGGGCGGCAAAGCGGTGCCGGGGGGTGCGAGAAAGATGCGGGTTGCGAGGTGGGTAGGAGGAAGAAGGGCGAGGAGAGGAGAGTGGATTATAATTGCAAACATCGTTTGTTAGTGTCCGCCGCGTGTACATGCTCGTCCGTCTTGTCGGCGCGAAAGTTTTCGCATTTCAATCAGTGCCGCCTCCCGGTCTCTCCCTGTCCCTTCGGCTTCGTGATTTCCACGTCCATTTGCTCTTCTTCTCGCGGCCGGGCCGAAGTTCTGCCGCGCGGTCGCGGCGCGCCAGAGAGACACAGCCGCGCTCGACGTCGAGAGGTTCCCGCGGGATTCATATTCCGCGGAATACGTAATGCGAAACCGATTGCGGCGGGGAACGATCGTGCCGAAGAAAGATTTCGGATTCGACGGGCCGTGTCTATGTATTCGTATGTTTGCGAGAAAAGCAGGGGGTGGCTTGTGAGTGACGTCTATGTGTAGATGCAGACATGCTGCATGTAGATGCGCGCCGCCGAGAACAGCAAACAACTCTGAGAGAACTTAATTATGAAACATCGCTGGTGTGCCGTCCGCCGAGTCGTCCTCGTCCTCGTCGTCTTCGTCGTCATCGTCGTCGTCGTTCCCTACCCGTAAAACGACTACTTAAGACGTCGGAAGGAGACGGGAGGAGGCAGAGAGAGAGAGAGAGGGATACGGAGAGAGGACGGTTGTTCGAGGAAATATTTGCTTGCCTTCAATATTTATTCGCGATCGCGACTTTTTAAGTAGAACGGCTCCTCCATTCGCGCGATATCCGGCTTTATCTTACTTACTTTGTGCGAAATGTGTCGCGTCCGACGATACCGCAGCGATATCGACGGAGCGGTTCGAGGATTTCTCTCGAAAGTAATTTCTCCCGAAGGTAAAGCGCAAGAAAGAAAATTGCAGAGTGGAAACGTCGCGAGCGCCGAGCTCGGAGTCGATATCCTTCTCGGCGATTTCGCATTTTCGCGAAACCGAAGGAAACGAAGCGTGACTCGTGTGGTTTACAGGGAAAAAGTTTACGAGATATAAGAAATACTAAGAAATAATAATCTGGATTCTGAAATATCCAATTGATTGCTGTCTAATTAAATATCCAGCGCGAATATCGCGCTTCCTCAAAATCGCACAATCAAACAAAAATGCCTATTCTGGCCGAACGGCTCGCGAGTACGTAGGATAATTTATATCTGACGCGAAACTCACGCTGATGAAGCAAAAAATACGACTCCAAATAGACTCCAAGTTTAACTGTGTGGTACTTTGACGCGCGCCGAACATTCTTGACGTCTTTTTCTCGCTCGCAACCAGGCCTGATTGATATTAAGGATCCGCTTTCAAGGATTTCGCGCGTTCGCTCCCTTAAATAAAAGTCGAGCCCTTGTTAATCCCGTCGCATTAAGACTCACCGAAGGCTGAGGGTCCCCTCTTCTTGAACCCGGCGAGTTCTATCGGGAGATAACTTTCCCGGAGCGAACGACCAATTTAATTCGGCCGACAAGCGCCGTAAGGAGGGCGCGGCGAGGTCTCGGCCAGAAATTATTTTTCTTCATTCCGCCGAGAAATTCCCCCCCCCCCCGTAACGTAATTCGGCGCGTCCGCGAAGAAATCTCCCGCACGGTTAATGTTCCGTCGTGGACGTTAAGTTTCCGCGGGACGGACTTTTATCCGCGATGACAAACGGCGATAACACGCCCCTGATGTCCCGTTATTGCGCCGGTCGGCACGTATGATATGAGGTCGAATCTCGAGAGAGAAAGAAAGGGGGAGAGAGCAAGAGAGAGAGGGAGAGAGAATCAAAGCACTGTGCGCAAAAAGGCACTGGGAGGAACAGCGAGCACGTTGCCGCGAAGAGCTCTTATTGACACTCTGCAATTTTCAGCTTTATCATCATCGTGATTGCGTAACTGCGGATTCTGAAGCCCTTATCCAATGTTGTTCACGCATCTTTACCCTCGCAGGCATTTATCCACCGTGCGGTCGAGCAACGAGATCGAACCGAAAGCCAGTTAGAGAGAGAGAGAGAGAGAGAGAGAGAGGCAGCGATGGACGATCTTGATTCGATTTTCAGAAAGAGTCGATCCTTTCCAAAGTAAACTTTTTAATCAGTTCTTTTCTGTTCAACTTTTGTGCAAATCGAGACCGCCCATCATTAGTTAGAGCGATGTACTATAAATAAACGGCTGGGCGGAGAAACGAGGAAGGAGAATTTTTCTTTTATACGCAAATATCTTTGACGCGAAGTAACTAGATCTCGGCTGCTCTCGGAAGGAGTAGAGAAAAGAACATCGCGCGGGGAGATAATAATAAAAAGTCACGCGCGCGCGCGACAGCTGGATCTCACGCAGCGCGTAAATAGTCCTTACAACCTAACGGGGAGCTGCGCGGAAATTGGCCGCTTCATTCATCGCGGGCGTATACGAAGTTCGCCGGAAATTGCCCGTTGCCGTCGTCGGAGATCTAAGAGCGAGCTGGAGAATTATTAATTTTCAATGCGACCTTCTCGCTGGAGCCGTCTCTTTCGCGTCCGACTCTTTGTTCAGCCGACCGTAACAATTGCTCGAAGGAGTTGACTACTTTCATATTTAAAGCGCTCGCGCGATGCGCCGCACCGATGCAAAAGTCTCGCGTCAATAGGGAGATTTTATATTACGTGTCGCGTCCTGGCGAAATCACGGCGGAAGCTCTCTTTGTTCGCAGGTGACGTGGCTGCAGCACAACAAAGACTCCTTTCGGCTGCTGACGGTCGGCAGGATACCGTACAGCGTCGACCAAAGGATCAGTCTCAATTTTCGGTAAGTCGCGATAAATCTCCATCGGCCGCGTCCGCGCATCGACTTTGCGAACGAGGCTAATCGTCGCCTCGTCGTCGTACACTCGCCGACGTTGATCGATTTGACATTTACCGGAGAACAAACATTCGGAATTTTCAATCACGCGAGCATCGTATCCGGATTACCTATTTATCCGTGCGTCGCGAATGTCGTCCGAGGAGGCCGGCAATGTTTTAAATATTATTCAGGCACAGCAGCCTGTTTTGTAGCGTCAGAAAATGTCAAATACGTGTAGATTAAAAAATATAAATACATATACAAGTATAACTAAATAAAATTACGCAAAAGAATCGAAGAAGATGTCCGCTAGGGTTCATTTGAGAGATATTCCCCCGTAGGTAGCCTTGTATGGCTTTTATCTAATTCTGTAAAACAAACTTGATTTGTTCGTACGGGCATAGAACAAAAAGAAATGTCACGTGTTGTCACAGCGACGCTGGTCTCTCACGAGAAATCGGCATCGCCGATAGTAGACTTGTTCAGATCATTGTTATTCTCTCGAATAATCATGACGCGCGAACATTTTCAGACACGCCGAGTGTGAGTGCAAATTTCTAGTGCGACTCTAAATCTAATAAAAGTGTGGAGAGATCAAGGCCGACGAGCGTGCGCTTTTCATGAGAGCATCGGGCGGCGCACGATCGCGACGACGACGACGACGACGACGACGACGACGACAAGCGAAATTCAGAGCAGCGAAATTGCCCGGACGGCGTATTATCATAATTCGTCATCATCCGCGGCGGCGAGCTGCATAATCTCGTCGTCAGCGACGTTGAATTACCGTCGCGGTCGATTTTTACGCGTACAAGTTTTACGTGGTAGAATCAGCGCGAGACGCCGCCGTGCGCGCCAACGAGGACGACGGGCTGCTTCTTTCAGCAGCCGGGGATTAAATCAGCCGTTTCGCGCGTCGTTTTACGTCGTGGGAATCCCGAATCGACGCCTCGTCCGTCGCCATTGGGCGACGACGTTACCTACCTACCTACCTACCACCCGGTGAAGCGTGGGCTGTATTATCGGGAAGCGTTACTAGCACGAAATAAAATCCAATTTTCCGTCGATTTTCCGTCCATTCACTTCGCGGCTGCTTTATTGCAAATTCGCGCGTCCGCCTGCCGTCGGCAGGGGCAGGCTCTCTTTCCTCTCGTCCTTGGCGATCTCGCTTCCTGGTCTGGCCGCAAAGCCCGACGCTATTGTCCACCGCTGACACCTTTCTCGCGTGTGATGCCGCAGGTACCCGAGCAACTGGAGGCTGCAGATTCTGTACGCGAGCCCGCGCGACTCCGGCTTGTACAAATGCCAGGTCGCCACGCATCCGCCGCTGGTGAAAAAAATCAACGTCGTCGTCACGGGTAAGCGAGACGTTCCTCCATCTGTGAATTTTCACCTCGTGCTCGCGCGCCACAATCCTGCCCCGGCAGTTTTTGGCACCTCCCCAAGTAGGAATACTGCGAGACGCGGATTAATTAATCCGGCATTGTTCGCCGAAGCAACGAAGATCGACGTAGAAATACAACAAGTTCACAAGTTTAAAGCACTTTTGTCTCGCTTACAATCGCACGCGACCGTCCGGTTTCGATTTCGACGACTTTACTTTTTCCCCGCACATTTACTCGTTGTTCTCTACATATCTATGTTTTCATTCGGATTTTCATGTTTTGCTCGAATGTTTGTTTTTTGCATATTTCAGTTGTATGCCACGGTCGCGCGACGACTGGCAAATCCGTTTGAAAAAACAAAGACCATTGGGTCGCGGATCAGGAATCGAAGTTAACTGCGTTTTCGAGATGGCTCAAAGCAATAATTCGCGTTTCGAATAGAGAAAATATTGTCTCGAATATTCCGCTTCCCGCAATCTGATTTCCTGACTCCCTTCCCGCAAAAATTGCTCTCGCTTCCATTTCGTCGCGTTCGTACAACACGCCTGGTGTCAGAGTGCAACTAGCGATAAAAAACAAACAACCGCATCAGAACGCGTCGAGCCGTCTCTCGATTCGCTACGCAACGTCGCACAGTGCACAGCAAGCCTGATCTTTCAAATACGGCTTACAAATACGGTTCGCCCACGCTTAAGAACAGCTTCCACGACCAACCGGCTCGTTCACGAAAGAGCAAGTACAGTACAGAGCTTCTACGCGCGAACTCTTGCACTCGGTAGCGTTAGTCGCTACCTGTTGGAATACCAGCATGAAATATCCATCGCTTCACCTACGGTGTGTAGTGGGAGAGCTCAGGCTTGTACAATCTTAATTAATCCGGGTCGCGTTCGCGGAGCGCATAAAGCGTTTCGCGCCGGCGGACCGAAAAGTCCCGGCCGAAAAACAGAGTGGTCCGTAATGCGGAATCCTTTCCTCCACCATTCCCTTTCGCGGTCTCCTCGCGGGAGATCCCATTCGGGAAACGGAGCCAGGCTTTCTCTCTCTCTCTCTCTCTCTCTCCCTCTCTCCCTTCCGGTCGCGGCGAAACGGAGAACGTCCGGGCGAACCGTGCGTTAACCAAGAAAAGAACGACCGGGCTGAACTCGCGCGAGAACAGGGGCTGAGAGAGGAGCGGGACTGGAAGCAGGAAGGCAGAGAGGCGAAGAGGAGGAGAACGAGAAGCGAAAGCTGCTGGGTACATGGGCGAAACGAAGCCGGTATCGCAGCGCTCGTCGTTACCCCCAATCCCCTTACGTCGCCGATTCGGTGCAATGGAAACCCGCATTTCCCGGGTAAAGCGCCTCATGGCCGGTAATCTGATCCGATCCTGGGAGAACCGGCGAGCGGAGGCGAACAAAAGCCAGCCCCTCGGCGCGGCGTCCCGTCGATCGAAGTAGAGCAGGAACAAACCCCCGGATAGAGTGGCGTCCTTGCGAGCACCTTCCCGCCCCACCTGCCACTGTCCCCGAAGTCAGCATCGACGCGCGATCGTAAAAGGACCGATGTTTCGTCGTCACCGTCGATCTGTGTGTGTGTGTGTGTGTGTGTGTGTCGTCGAGACCGCGGTGGCCGCGCGCGCGCTCATCGACGTAGACGACGAGGACAAAATGACGCGCGGCAACGAGCGCGCGCTGGGGTGTTCTCTGCCGGAATAACAATGTGCGAAGGAAGGAAGACGACGCGGAAACTCTCGTGACAATCGGCGGATCAGGCCGAGTCGCGCGCTGACGGACGGATTGTGTTTAGCTCAATGGGAAGTCCTCCCTCGCGTCCCGTCGCGTCTCGTCAAGGCTACTCGCGTTTCCGCGTCAATTTCAGTGCCTCCAAGTCGTCGTGAAAGTAATGGACGATTCTCGTCTATAAAGTAGAGAAACGAAACGGCGCCGGAGGTTCTCTCTGCTGGTGAGACCTCCGGAGTCGAGCCACCGTGTTGCCTTCGTTCACGATTCTTACGGTTTTAGTCCGCAAGTAGATTGCTCGTGCGGTTCGATACGGTACGCGTTTCGCCTCGCCTCAGACGCGCGGGTAGAGGGGGTGAAACGTGAGAGACGAGGTGATGCAAGTGAAAAAAAGACGGGAGTGATTCTCTTCCCGTAATAAGTAAAATGTGCGCAAACCAATTGCTCCATACGACGTTTCTCCTCTTTGAAGGAAATCGATTTTTGGAGACCCGCCAGAGATGATCGATTTTCTTGTAAACGAAGGCGACGGCGCGAAAAAGTGTCATCCGTCTCCACACGGCAAGAGTACCATCTCTCTCTCTCTCTCTCTCTCTCTCTCTCTCTCTCTCTCTCTCTCTCTCTCTCTCTCTCTCTTCCGGGTGCGCCACGAATTACGCTCCGACTCGTATCGCGCGGCGTTCGCGGACGACGAAGAGCCCGAGAAATGGAAAGAGAATACCAAGATAAATTAAATGAAGGCAGGACCGGGGAGGGCGGAAGGGGAAGAGGGGACACGTGCGTGTCGCGCAATCTGGCCGCGTTACGCCAGGGTGCAACGTGCGAGGCGAGGTCGCAAAGCAATACGTACGGGCCGGAATAAACTTTCGGAAATCCGAATGCGCGCCGTGCAGCGCGCCCGTTTCATTATGTGCGCGATCCCGGCGCACACCCTCGTACGCCGCTTCCGTTTTGTGCATGGCGATGAAATTACTTTTCGCGAGAGCGCGACTCCCTTCCGCGCGCGGGTTGGGGTCCTTTTCCGCCCTTCGCTACGATACACCGAAACTCGTCGACCCGTTTTGTCCGTTCTCCTCTCCTTCGATCCTCGCGCGCGCGCGCGAGTCATCCCGGCGTAACGAACTCGACGTGGCAGAACAATTCGTGTCAGCGACAGACACGGAGCCGCGCGCGCGATTGTCGAGATATGCCGCGACTAAGCCGCGAATTACGTTACTGGGATGTAAATGTAAAGTATTTGCTCGCGACTTGAATAATAACTCGGGGAAAGTGTATGTACGAGTTCTCGATTCGCCTTGCCGCACCAGGACGCTCTCGTGCGAGCTGAATGTCCGAAACGAGGAGTCTCGGCGTCTCGCTTGCTCGCCAGCATAGCGGAGATTTAATTCATTATATTCTAAAATTAAATAAAGGACTGTCGAGAAGCAGACGATCGTACGAGAGTCGCGCGTTACGGCAGATTATTCCCGACGTGCACGCGGGATTGTACCGTATTGTAGACATAGCGGGGTTAAAGCCAAATCGTATCGTTAAACATGTAACATGTCACATGTCGCTGAGAGAGCGGAGAAAAAATGTGTGCGTTTCATTTCATTTGTTTCCGTAACATGCGTTCTAACGAGAAATTATGTAGAATCAAGTCAATTAGCTAACGCACACAACGATAGAAAAACGTGACGAGCACCTTTTTATTGTGACCCAAAGAAAAATAATTTCAGAACAAGCGGAATCAACTAAATTTTAGAGGATTTTATTCTTATATACGGCCTCAAAAGGATTCCTCTAAGATTAAGAGGAAAATATTGTAAACATATTATTCTTAAAATTAGAGGGATTATATGTTATATATATATATATATATATATATATATATATATATAATGCAAATCTTATTGATTTTGATATAAATTTCTTCGTATACGCAGATTATTTAATCTTTTTTTAAGAGAATTATTATTTGTTCCTAGTGTACTTTATTTTTACTGGTTTTTACTAATTGTTAATTTGAAAAAATTATTATAATGTAGCGAAAAGTAATATGTATATAGATGTACTTCTGGCTACACTTCTACAATAAATAGGCACGAATGAAATAAAATTATCATAACAAATAAATTTTCAATCAGTTTTGTTATGGACTTTATAGCTACAAAGATGTTCATCATAACCAATTGTATGAAACATAGTTGAAAGAAAGAATATATTATTCAATATATTCTTGCAATAGATTGTAAACCAATATTTGACCAAATATGGGTAAATTATCTTCGTTATATGTTACAGCAACATATACTTTTTTTAAAAAGCGTGCCAAATATTCTGTCCTATATGGTTATCTTTTTGTTTATGTCTGGATAGGTAGAGCATGATTGAACAAAAGGAGCCGACATTCAAGCCAACCAACATATTCCTCCTTATATCATATGAGAGGAAAATTAATTGATATAAGAAAAAATCCCCTTGAAATGAGAGGAAAACAGTTAGAATAATATCTAATAAATTTTAGATAAATGGTTCTCTTCAATCACTTTATGGAAAGAGGAATCCTTTTTCTATATATAAAAGGAGGCTTCGCTAGAATATAAGACTATGGGAAAAATCACTTTACAAATAGAATACTTTTTTTCGGACAAACGAATACATACTAAGCAACATAATAAGAATAAATGGTTCAGGGAATCTGCCGTGTTTATTAGCTCGTAAACTGCAAATCGATTGTCACAGTTTTCTTAACTCATTGGTTGCCAATATATTCAACTCGTGTAAAGTAAATACGAGAAACATATTTTCAGTTCTCATTTAATAAACATTGCGATTCGTGACTTTTCGGATGAGATACAGTTTTTCCATATTTACACGGCAAAATAAATTTCGCGTTTGAATTTAAGCCAGGAGGGACACTGTGTGAGTGTTAAAATATTTATCTAAGATAACGATAAAACCTAATTGCATGCGGAATTTGTTTCCCGAGTGACTGTTGGTCAAGCTGGAGGCAGAATCGGACGGGGAAATTCTCGCAATGACATTGTCATTATTGCGAGCGACGAGAATCCGCTTTTACGCGAGTTGGAGCGCGCGATCTGTTTTTACAGAGGTGACTAAATAAGCTAGGACTGCAAGTACGAGGACCTACGACGCGATGAAATGGCTCTTATTAAGGAATACGTAAACAAAGACGGACGCACAAAGTGAAACGTCATATTTCTCCCGGGTTTACTTGTCGCGCGCAGAGAAATCAAAGGGTTGAGCAATCGG